TATATATATGTGAGCCAGAGGACAAGAAGACAGCTGGCACTCACTCTATAGTGAGGGTGTGTTCCTCTGTCCCTGTAGCTGGTAGCACGGTACTGTGGGCTGATAAGATAGGAAGAAAAGAGATTTATTTGGCTCCCAGCTCTGGAGGGCTAAGGCCAAGGGGCTGTGTCTGATGGTGGCCTCTTTGCAGGCAGAGTCCCCAGGTGGCACAAGTTGCACAAGACAGGAGACATAGGCACGTGTGCCAGCCTTGTCCCCAGTCTCGATGCCCCCTCATCACTACAGTTCATTGAGTTTGCACCCTCCCTGCCTCCAAGCCCTAGTTTCAGACGGGACAGACAAGGCCGCCCCATAGCATCAAGTGTCTGTACCGTGGCCTGCTGTGTCTTCACAGTCAAAGGGGACTTGCCTCTGCAGCCCCATGACAGGAGGGGCTGGATTCAGAAAGTCCCCCAAGCCCGTGAGCTCAGACATGAGCACACCACCCTGGCAGGACCCAACTTGCCTTTTCTGGCCCGGCTGCTTCCTTTATCCGGGATGTTTCTCAAAAGTCTTCTATTATAGAGCACCTCAAAAATAGAACCATGTAACAGACTCAGGTCCCCTCTCAACCTCCTCAGGCTATTCATACTTTAGTCCATCTCCTTGTTTCTCTGCCTTGTCCCTCCTTTTGCTTTGAAACCAAACTCACATGCCAAACTGGTCTATCTGTCTGTATGCCAGAATGAATTTGTAAAAGACAGAGACTAGAAATACATGACAATCCTATTTTCCAAAAATATTGACAGTTCTTAGCTAAGTATAGTGGTGTGGTCCCATAGTCCCAGCTACTTGGGAGGCTGAAGCAGGAGGATCACGGGAGCCCAGGGGTTTTTGAAGTCAGCCTGAGGCAGTCTTCCTGCCTTAGCCTCCTGAGTAGCCAGGATTGCAGCTGTGTGCCATTGTGCCTGACTAAGAATTTTAGGTCTTTAAAGATTCTTAACTTTTTTTTTTTTTTTTTTTGTCCTGCCTATAACCATGTTAAAACAATAACCACTTAGAGAGGAACTTAAATTCTTCTAGAAAGAGATCAGGTAGTTTCCACTACCTAAGTGGTTATTGTTATCTTAGAGAAGCCCAGGTTGTACCCACAGTAAGTGGTAGTTTGTGCTGTTACTCTCAGAAAAGCAAAATCATCCAAAACCACAGTTTATACAGAATAAAATCATCCCAAAAGACAATAGAAGAAAATAAATAATAAGTGTAATAACAGTTTTAGCAAAACCAGAAACAAGTTAGCAACTTCAGATTTGTTAAGTAAATGGTAAGTGCATGATTAGCACCCCCCCATCTGCTGTGTCACTTAATCTCTGCTCTGCCTTCCTGTGCTGAAGGTGGCAGGGTAGAGTAAGGGAAACTGAGACCCAAAGATGAGTACCCCGTCCAGGGTCACACGCAAGTGTGGGGGGTGGGGCTCCCAGGGCTTCCTCAGCTTGAGCACCTGTGTGTCTCCTAATCCTGCTCCTCATTCTCAGGGAGGCAGCAGGCCAGGGAGGGAGCTCAGCTGCACAGGGCTTGGCTGCACAGGGGCCTTGGTTCCATCCCCAGGAATACAAAATAAAGCAAAGAGAAGCAATGCATATTGTCAGGCTTTTGCAAAGATAAGAAAGAAAAAAAAATGAGAGACTAAAGAATGGAATAACCTGGGTGTGGTGGTGCGCGTCTGTGGTCCCAGCACTCTTTAAGAGGCAAAAGTATGCCCGTAAGTTCAAGGCCAGCCTGGGGTACATAGTAAGACCTTATTTTAAAAAGAGCAACAAAACCAGAAAAGGACAGGGGATGTAGCTCAGTGCAGGTGCCGTGGGTTTAATCCCTAGTACTAGGGGAAAAAAAATGAGTAAGAGCTACTTGGCAGGCTGAGGCAGGAGGATCACATGTATGAGGCCATCCTGGGCAATTTAGCAAGACTGTATCTCAAAATCAAAAAGGGTTGGGGTGTAGCTCACTGGTACAGCCCTTGCCTAGCATGCATGAAGTTCTGGGTTCCATGCCCAATGCCAGGGGAAAAAGAAAAAGAGCTTTAAACTTAGGAAAGTCTGGGTTTTTTGTTTTGTTTTGTTTTTCAAAGTAAAAAATGCCTTTATTGGGGGTGCAGAGAACACCACATCAGGAAGCAGGGATGTGGAGGGCCTGGCTAGGAGAACAATGGCTATATGGGGCCAGGCTGGAGGTGGGATTTAGGGGAGTGGTCTGCATGACATGGCAGATAGTGATTGGGCAGAAGGTGGGAAAAAGGAAACAGGATGTTGTAAAAGGAAAGTAGAAAGTTGTAACTTGATCCTGGGAGGAAGGCAGGGCTTGGCACATGGCCTCCTGTGGCCCATGCCATATTGAGCAGCTGCCTTGATGACTTAGCAGAATTTTTACTAAGGTGGAAAACTCATCACTCCCATCTTTTGGTTATGGGGGCAATGACTCTTTTTTGCTGAGTAAGAGCATTGTCATGATAGGGGGCGGCAGGATGACAGTTTATATCCATGGGGAAGCTGGTGCCAGGGGTCTTGGCCAGAACAAGGAGCTCATTGGCAGTGATAGTGCACATCCTGGATTGGAGAAACCGTGAAAAAAGTTTAAAAATACAAGGTGCCATGAGAAGGAAAGCAATTATCAAGAATAGTGGGCCTGAGAGAGAGGAGAAAGGGGGTCCATGATCCAAAGGCATTATCCCACCATGACCATGACAGAGAAGTGTAGCCATATCCCAGCTGTTGGCGTTTTCTGTTGAGGTAGTTGTGGCAGTAATTACAGAGGTTTTTACCTTTTCCATGATGATCCCAGATTTATTTACGAAGTAACAACATTCCTCACCCAGAATAGCACAAGTGCCTCCCTTTTTAGCTGTTATAACATCCAGTGCGCTGTGGTTTTGGAGCCACCACGGAGTTGATTTGGTTTTGCCTGTTTTATTGATTTTTATTTAGGAGAGACTAGCTATGGTGTCTTTTTTTGTTTTGTTTTTTTTTTTTTTTTGGTTTTCTTCCGGTACCGGGAATTGAACTCGTGACCTTGCACTTGCCAGGCGGGCACTGTGTCGCTGAGCTAAATCCCCAGCCCCTATGGTGTCATTTAAGGCCTGCTGAATATAGTTAGTTAAGGCCTTGATATGTATCATATAACACTTTCTCTAGACAAGATCTGGTGGTTTTTAGTAAAAGGAATCTCACATATTTATTATTGGTTTTATCTGTATGGTTACTTGGAGTTTTGTAATCTCTAGGCAATAAACCAATTTTTTGGAGACAATATTATTATGGCATTGCTTTATACACTTGTGGTATACTTTTCTGTTGGATGTTTAAGATCAAGTTACAGTGAGACCTATATTAATTAAAATTAACTTCTTGCTATCTGTCAAGATCAGTTAAATCTCAGGATTTACCTTGGAACCATGTGCAGTGCCTCTCAGTTCTGTCAGTGTCAGCCATCTGGATGAGTCACAGCCATTGCTTGACCAAGTTGCTTTCCATGAAAGCTTGGGAGACTTTTTCTCCTGGTGACTCTCAGTAGGCACACTATACACTGTAGAGTCATTTTCCTCTCTGGTCCCGTAATCTCCTTGATCAGAAGATCAGGGACTCAACTGAGTTATATGATGTTGCAGCAGAGGTTCTCTTATATTCTGGGTCTTTATTGACCTTGGAGGGCTTGGCTAAAATATTGGTTATCCTCTTAGCCCATCTATCTTTCTAATGTTTGGTCTCTAAACCTCAGTTGTTGAACATGCAGAAGAGAAGATTAATGACATTATATTGTAATGGGAGCAGTGAACTTAATTATAAAAATTTTGTCTGAGTGTTAAGCACCTGGAAATATAAAGTATAACCAGAGAACCGTTACTTCTTACCAAGCATGGGTGTTCTAGTAGTTGAATCCTGTGGAATGTTAACAGACAACAGTTGTATAGTTCTACAAAGAAAATTTGAAATAAAAAATCATACATAGTATTGTAACATAACAGGCATGATGACATTTTTGTAGCACATTTAAATCTCCATTTTGGAATAGAATAGGCCTCTTAGTCAGTCATCTGTACCTAATACATAAGGAGCTTTTGCCTAACTTGTTGTCCTTAACTAGGATGTCACTGAAGAAATTTGTAACATTGGGCTGTTTGATATCTAAGCATCTCTAAATGTAGTGGCACACACATAGCATATACTGTACGTCACATAAGTTTTTGTTAAAAGGTTAACATTTAAATGATGACCTCATGTTGTCCTGACATGAACCTCTTAATACAAATATCTGGAGCATGAGAGAAATGCAGATGTCTGAATCTGAAAGAAAATATCTGTCACTTTTATAAACAATCTCAGTTTTACATTTTTAGAATATTGTACATTTGGAAGGCATAAATACATTTAATACACCATGAAATTGACAGTAATGAATTATCATTATTTTGTTTTTTAATCTAGTTTCGTATCAATAACATATTTTAATCAGAAAACCTTACTGTCTTATTTTTGAGGATTTAACCTTTTGACAACAGCTAGTGTAAACATATCACAATAATACATTTTGAACAATATTTTTTTGGGTGTCTCCCATAAGGCTATGGAGATTATTGAGGCTTCCTATTAATGAATAAGTACTGGAGAAATTTTTCCAGGGAGCCACTTCCTTATTCATCAGTTGGAGTCCTGTCCAATAGTTTTTCCCCACCCTGAGATTTTAATTTAATTATCTTAACAATTTTTATGTTGTATGAACATCCAATTACAATATTTGATGCATTAATTTTGAACAGTGAGAGACTTTCAAGTCATAATACATAAACAACAATATATATAACATTTACAAAACCAATTTTGACATTCTGATCATCTGGCAACCTTGGTGGAAGCATACCCTTAATTTACATAACATTTATCTATAAGTCAAAATAATTTCTGACAATTGTTTTAAAAATCAAAATATATAAAAAGAAGAAAAATTTGTTGAGCTCCAATAAAACAGCTGCTTACAGATTGGACAGAAAGACAAAACACAGGGCTGGGGATATAGCTCAGTGGCATAAACACCTGCCTGGCAAATGCAAGGTCCAGAGTTTGATCCCTGGTACTGCAAAAAAAAAAAAAAAAAAAAGACAAAACACATACATAAGACAATTTGCTTATAAAATCAGAGTGCACTCAAATATATTTTTGGCCAAATGGAATTGTAATAATTTTTATAATTTTTTAAGTTTGTAATTATAAAGACTAGTCCGAACTCCTTTATTTTTATTTTTTGTAGGTCTATTAGCAGAGATCTCTTAGAAGAATTTGGAAAAAATTAAAACCTTTTATCTATAACCAGTATATTTTTAGTACTTTATTTTGTCTAAAGAATACAAACAACTTTTGTGTCCCTTTCTGTTACGTAGCTTTTAGCTTAGTCATTTTCATATACTCTGTCACCTATTTAGACCTTTTTTTTAATAGTTTTTTTTATCTGTTTAGATTTAAAGGGATAGAGAAAGAGAATGAGAACAAGATAGGGAGTGGGAGAGAGAGAGCGGAAGAGGGAAAGAGAAAAAGAAAGAGAACTAGAAAGAGAGCGTGTCAGAGAATGAGAGCAAGAGAGATCAGGCAGGGAGAAAGGAAGCGGACATGAATAAGGCCCTCAGGGCCTCCTACCTCACAGAGAGGGAGTGAGGGATGGGGAGGAAAGAGAGCCCGTGGTCAGGGTTAGTCTGGTGTCTGTGGTCAGCTTTGGCTTGTGCTGCTTTTTAAAGCGGAGTTTGTTGAGGGGAGAGGGTGGGTTTAAGGATGATGTAAAGGTCTTTGTAATGTAAATCATAGAAATTAACCACAAATTGTAACTCTTTAATATAGGTATGAGGATTAGCAGAAAAGGAACCTAATTTATGAAAAATTTGAGATAGGCCAGAAAGAGTAAAAGGGCCATGAGCACGAACCAGGCCCTTGGGGCCTGCCTGTTCTCGGAAAGGACACATAAATTGAGGCTGGGAAGATGGTGCCTAACTAGAAGATGGCAGAGGGTGGGAGGAGCTAGGACAACATGGAGGTGGGTGGAAGGAGGTAGGACTGAGTGTGTAGAGCCAGGGGTGAACATGGTAACAAAGGGGTGGAAGGGGAAGAAGTGGAGGTGGTCGATGGTGGAGAGAAAGTGGGAACCAGCTGAACAGTGGGCTGGGGAGATTGAGGAGGCTGAGAAGTAGGTAAAGGGGAAGAGTTGGGTAGCTGACTGAGAAGGTGAGGCGGGGGAGGTTGGACATGAAGCTGAGAGGGTTGGAAGAAGAGGGGTGAGCATTAGGCTGGGGAGGTTGAGAATGGGGCAGAGGAGGGGCGAAAGCTGGAGGTACATCCTCAAGAGGATCACGGGAGGAGTCAGGTAAGGGGTCTGGCAGTGTGGAGCCGGCCAAGCATATTTGGGCTGGAGCCGGCCAAGCATATTTGGGTTGTTCCACATGCCTGAAGGAAGGAAGGACATGCCCTAAGGGCAATAAAGGCTTGTATGTAGATTTGACCCCATTTGCCCTTGTGGTAACACAAATTATCTAGGTTTTTGAGGATATTAAAATCAATCATTTTGGCTTAATGGTATCTCTGAGCCTGAGAGTGTGTGTACTGGCCAAGAGACAGCTGAGTGGAGTATGTTTTGAGGGATGGGAATAGTATTTCCCATTTTGTGGCCCAATTAAAGTGAGCCAGAGGCTTAATCGGCCTCTTAATCAGGGAAGACTGTCACCCTCGTCGGGGTGCGAGAGTAGGAAAATACCCAAATCGGCCCTCCCACTTACCACTGAGAAGGCAGAAGGTGTCCCGAAGGACGCAAAGGAAGAGAGGGAGTCCTGACATGGGCCCACAGTTTTTGGAAAATGAGAGAAAATGAGGCAGGAACTCCTGGAATGGAAGGAGGCTCACCTGTGAGGACTGGAGCTGGCCGGTGTTGGATGGAGGCTTGCAGCGTAAATGCAGGGGCGAGAGAAAAAGGAGGCTCATTGGCAGGGGGGCTCAAAGAGCCACATGCCCTAAACCATCCAAGTCATGGCACCGATGTGTTAGGTTTTTGGCACAAATAAAAACAGAACAAAGTGAAAAAAATGCCTTTATTGCAGGCATGGGGAAGACCACAGCAGGAAGGAGGGACGTGGAGCTTCTAGTATGTTTTGTTGTTGTTGTTGTTTGGTTTTGTTTTGTTTTTTGGGACAGAGTCTCACTGTGTAGTTCAGGCTGGCCTTGAGTTCACTATGTAGCCCAGGCTGGCCTCAAACTCAGTGATCTTCCTGCCTCAGCCTCTGAGTACTGGGATTACAGGTGTGTGTCACCAAGTGTGGTTTTTTTTTTTTTTTTTTTCTGGTTTGTTTCTGAGACAAAGTCTTATGTAGTTCAGGCCAGCCTTGAACTTACTATCTAGCCTAGGCTGGCCTCGAACTCTGCAATCCTCCTGGCTTAGCCTCACAAAGGCTAGGATTTTTTTTTTTTTTTTTTTTTTTGGTTTTTTTCCGGTACCAGGAATTGAACTCATGACCTTGCACTTGCCCAGCAGGCGCTGTACCGCTGAGCTAAATCCCCAGCCCCACAAAGGCTAGGATTACAGGTGTGCACCACCACACCCAACTAGGAAAGTCTTTTTTGAAAGGCACTTTACTGTGCCCAGATGTGTTTTGCTGTAGCTGGCAGGGGGAGGGTGTGGCACTGGGGCTTTCGGGATGGCCCTGCCTGGCAGAGCTAGGCTCGTCCAGCTGCTGTGGTTCTCACCATACTGTCCCTGGTCTCTCCATGACAGGGAACAAGTCTGACCTGGCTGAGCTTCGGGAGGTCCAGCTGGCTGAGGCGCAGAGCCTGGCTGAGCACTATGACATCCTGTGTGCCATTGAGACATCTGCCAAGGACTCCAGCAACGTGGAGGAGGCCTTTGTGCAGGTTGCCACTGAGCTTATCATGCGGCATGGGGGCCCCATGTTCAGCGAGAAAAGCACCGACCTCATCCAGCTGGATAGCAAGGACATCGGGGAGAGCTGGGGCTGCGGGTGCTGACGGGCAGGGCTGGGCTGCCTCCTTCCCTCGGGCTCTGCACTGCAAGTGGATGCTGGGAAGGAGGAGCCGGACTCCCTGCAGTGCCTGGTGGCTGGGGCGGTGGGCTTCGTGTTCTCCACATTCCAGGACTGCCCTGCACCTGCCAGCTGACCCCAGGGTGGGATGGGTTGCCCCATGCCGCCTTCTCCTTTGCCCAGTGATCTTGACTTTGTAGATTCTGCCAGACTGTTGGGGCCTCTGTCCGGAAGTGAGCAGGAGCTAGCTGGACCGGCTCCTGAGTGCAGCCTGGCGCTGATTCCCCTGGCCCAAAGTGGTTTCCTCCCTCGTACCTACCACAGCCCTGGACGTCCCCTGGGCCTGGCTCACTGCCCTGTCAAGACCTCAGTTTACTGGTTCTGTGTGGCTTCTCATTTTCATCAGCACAAGTGTGGGGATCTTGGCCCATGGCAGCTGGACATGGCCACAGTGGCCAAGCCTTAGGCCTGGAGGGCTGGAACCTGGCAGGAGAGGGAACCTGAGGGAGAGCAGCCACCTGGAGGCAGCAGCGTGCAGTAGAGCGGTAGAGGGTGTGTTCATTGCCTCAAGGCCAGGCTGGGTCCTCAGCAACAAACCTCAGAGCTGCCTGTGTCCACCCCTGAGTCTAAGGGCCCTGGGGACCTGGGCGCCCAGCCTCATTCCCGGTGCGCAGATGCTCCTGCCACCGTGTTCGATCACCTGCTCCCCTGGGACTCAGCAAGCCCAGTTTCTCAACAACAAAGGCCTCACCTGGAGCCATGGCCAGGTCACCTGCATCCCCTGGGCCTGTAATGGCCTCAAGCTGTGCGGGGTGCTGAGGTTGGACAGCAGGTGGGGACCCCTAAAATACAGCGCTATCCTCTGGGCAGGGAGCACAGGAGCCTCCCCGCCCACCTTGGCCCTGGCAGGAGGCGCTGTGCTCTGAGGTGTGGGGAGCATTGACACAGTGCTGGCAGCCGCATCCCACCCAGGTGGCCCCTGCCTCACTCCAAGCTCTGTGGCCGCGGAAGCCCCTTCTCCAGGGCAGGGCATAGGCCTGTGGCTGAGCATGGCACCCGTGGGGAGCGGGGTCCAGGTGGGTGGGGAGCTGCATTTCCGTGCTCATTCCCAGCAGCTGCCGTACCTCTGCCATCTGCGATGCTGGGCCCGGGTGTGCCTGGGTCTCCTGCTAGTTCCAGTTGGCCTGTGCTGTTTGCAGGGAGTACCGGTACCACCCTGGCCCTGCACTGCTGCTCCTGGCCTGAGAGCTGTGCCAGGGCTGAGGCCCTTGGGGTCACTACCTGGGCACAGAGGTCACTCGGAGGCTGACCCTGCAGAGCCCGGCTCTTCTGGGGAGACGAGCGCACCTGGGCTCAGGTGTGGTCCTCAGGGCACAGGGCTGTGCTGCAGTGCTCCCGCTGCCACCGCCCAAAGGCCTGGCTCTCTGCCTTGGGGTGGACCCTGCGCCATCACCTGCTCTCTGGGATTCCCAGCGCCAGCACGGGACGGAGCTCTCTTGTCACCTGGGGCTGTGAGCCACTGCCCTCTACCCACTGCCCACCACAGGCTGCCTGGGCAGGGAGAGCAGAGCCGGCTCCGCCAGGACTCTTTCTCCATGGTGGCTCCTCGGCTGGCCCCGCCCCCAGGGTGCCATGGCGCTTGTCCGCTTTCACTGTGCGCAGTGTCAAGGGTGTGGGACGGGAGCCCCGGTGCGCCCACAGGAGCAGCCTGTGCCAGGTTCAGAAACCCAAGTTGCCCTGCATGCCCTGCCTTCTTTCCCACCCCAGTGCCTCCGTCCCTCCCCATCCACTCCCGCCCCACCCTAGCACCCCGATCGCTCCCCGTCCTCTCCTGCCCCACCCGACTCCCCGCCTCCCTCCCTGTCTTCTCCTGCCCCAGTGCCCATCCCTGTCCTCTCACCTGAGTGCAGAGGGTTCCAGTTCCGCTGCCCAGGCCTCAGCTCTGCTCCGTGGCGGGTCTGAAAGGTCACCTGGCCCGGCGTTCCCAGGGCTCTTGGACAGGTCCACACTCAGCCTCAGCTTCTCTCCTGTGCATCCCATGCTGTCCTGGCCACCCTGGCCTCCCTTCCCGACCCTTCTCCCCGTCTCCATCCCTCCCTCGAGTTCCTGTCACTCAGAATCCCACCAATGACCCGCAGGGCGCAGCTGAGTCTCCTGGGAGAACCGGTCCTTCCCTGCCCCGCGGCCGTGAGGTCCCCACAGCCAAGCTGAAGCCATTTCAGCGGGAGCAGGGCCCACCCCTCCAGCCGCAGTGCCAGTGCCTGTGTTGGGCTCCCTGCCCTTTGGGCTTGGGTAAGGACACAGAGAAGTGCGGGGGACAGAAAATAAACCAGTGGCCAGTGTCTCCTGCCCACTGCAGGGCCAGCTCCCAGCAGCCTGGCCTCTGGGGCCAGAGGGAGCAGTTTCCTCCCTTGTTCCCAAATCACCCAGCAGAGAAGCAGCCCAGCAGGGCTCCCGTATTCCCTGGAAGGGGTCAGCGCCAAGGTCACGGCCCTATGGCCCGAGAGCCCGGGAAGCCCCATTCACGCTGAATTCAGCACCCTCTTCCCTGGAGGATGCCAGCCAACCGGCAGCTCAGCCCTGAAGCCTGGACTTGGGGGACGGGTGGAGACCTCAGCCAGCTCAAGGTTGCCATTTGCGTTGGGAGTTTTTCACCTTACCTATTTATGAATATGTACATCTTTATAGCAAATGTATTTTTTAAAACATGGAAAAATTACCTTTATGGAAACTTTAAGAGCCAGAGTGTAAAAGGCTTCACCCATTAAACCAATTTCTGTCAGGAGCCAACATGCCCAAGACTGGTTTTGTTGCCCGCCAGACGGTCCCCTGTGCTTCCATGGCCAGTCCACCACCTGGAGCTGTGAGAGACCTTCCCCAGCCCAGACCTGTGGGCCCTTGGGCAAGAATTGCTCAGAGCCGGGCGTGACGGCGCACGCCTGGAATCCCAGCACTCGGGAGGCTGAGGCAGGAGGATCCTCGCGAGTTCGAGGCCAGCCTGGGCTACAAAGTGAGCTCAAGGCCAGCCTGAACTGCATAGCAAGGCCTTGTCTCAGAAAGACAATAAATA